GGGCTCCAGAACCCCCTCCCAACCGCCCAGTCCCGGCAGCGCTGGGAGCCTGGCCCTGGCCTGACAATAAAGAAATCATCACGGACAGAAGGAAAGGGGCGCGAGGCTGGGAAGGCAGTGGCTTTAATCCGGGGTCCGCCCCCTTCAATTCTCCTGCGCAGCGGCCCCGAAAGTGGGGTGGGGACCGGGATTGAGGCTGAGCTCGCTTCTTCCTTGTTTTCCGGGTCTCGCGCCTCTGAAGCGAACTGGGCCTGGAGGGATGGTGGAGATCGAGAGAGCTGGGTTGGGGGCCTGACTGAGGGAAAGGTGGGGCCGGCCCCTGGGACCGGGTCGGAGAAGGATTACGAGGCGGAGCCGCTGCCTGTCCGCGCATCACCCGCTTGGTCCACCCAACCGCTCCGCGCTAGACTCGCGGCTGCGGAAGCGGCGGGCCGGGTGGTGATTACAACCCGGGGCGCTATCCCTTTCAAACCTGACCCCCTAACTCTGCTCAGTAACCGGATTTCCGGAAGCCACGACCTCGAAGCCCCCAGCGTTTCTCGATCGATGGTGGGGCGGGGGATCCTGGAAGCCTCGGAGCCGCAGCTCCTGCCTGCAGCACACGCCTCGGCCCCCAGGGAGCAGCGCAGCGAGGCGGAATACCCTCCCGCATCCGGAGCGTAGCGGGCAGACCCCAGGCTGAGGACCTGCGACTCCGTGGGACTCCGTGGGACTCCGGTGCCCGCCCCTCTGCACCTCCGCCGCGGCCCTGGAAGTCGGTTGAGTGCGGAGACCGCGACCGGAGGGGCGCAGAACGCTCCTCCGGGCGTCCTGGGCTCCAAGGACATAATTTTAAAACCACCGCGAAATCCGAGTCCCGCCGCCCGCCGGGGGTGGAGCGTGGCCGCCTAGCTGAGCCCCGTCTCAGGCTTTTGCGAAGCGAGGCCGCCTGGTGAGTTCCAGGGCTCTGTGGTACCCCAGCCGCCGAAGCTCTCCGGTGTCTCTTCGCAGCGGCGGGAACGGAGCTGGGCGCCCAGACGGCGCCGGGGTAGTTTCTCTGTCCCCGCCCCGTGGCCGGAGCCGCAACCCTGCCCCTTCCTCACTGGGGCTGCGCCTTCCTTCCTCGCTGCCGGACTGCGCCGGGGCCCCCGGCCCCAGGCAACCCGGGCCGCAGCTGTCACGGAGAAGCCCGGCGCGCAAGTGGGGTGCCTGGCAACAGGCCCGGCCTCCTGGCGTCCTTCTTCTCGCCCACGACTGTGGCCAGCGCTGGCCTCTGCTTCCCGGACCCACGAACAAAGCTGGAGATTGCTGCTGCGGAGTCGGTCCTGGGACTTGCTCGCAGCCGTCGGGGCACAGAACGGCTGCCCGGGGTGTTCCCTCCTCCGGAGCGGTGGCTAGGGCTGGTGGGGCGTGTGCGACGCGGGACCCCGAGCCCGCCGCCAAGCATGGCAAGGACCAGCGCGAGCTTCTCCCCACTGCGGCCGGGGACGGCAGGCATGGGGTGGGAGCCGGCCCAGGACATCCAGGTGGGATCGGCCACCGCTCAGGCGCTGTCCCAGGTGAACGCGGCCAGGGGCAGGCTCAGCACTGCGCAGGCCGCTGGCTCAGTGAGCACAGAGAGGGACCCCCGGTTTATGCCAAAAGCATGTTTCTCCAACCTCCTCCTTAAGCCCCTGTCTCATATGCGGGTTCCTGTCTCTCTCCAATAGTTCCTGGGTGCCTGGGAGCAGAGACTTGGCCCGTTCTCCCCAAGCTCAGCTGCAGGCTTCAGTGACCTGGGCAAAGTCTGGTTAACCCTGCCCACCTTTTGGGGAGGAAGGCCGGTTGCTCCCCTAGCTTCCACTGTGGCACTAGGAGGCAAGGGTAGCCAAGCTGATCGCTGGTTTCATCTGCACCGCCCTCCCCCCCCCACCCTCCGCACCTGCCACAGGTGATGAGATGGGCAGTGACAGGTGAATTGGCAGCCAGGCTGGAGTGGCATGGCTGGCTGCTCTGGGCACCATATTCCCTGCCTGTCACCACTCCTGGCTGCCCAAGTAGCAAAGCAAAGTTACAATGACAAAATCCAGAGAGGGGAGGCTCCAGTTGGAGATGGTGCTGCTGTCACAGGCCACCAGAGCAACAATGTGACAGCTTTTCATGGGGGCGGGCACTGTCCCCAGTCCCTACCCTGCCCTGGCTTGATCCTTGTCAGTGTCTATTTTTTTGCCTTGCTCTTATCTCAGCCTGGCTTCCCTTCCAGGATGTCAGCTCTGAGTGTCTCTTGGTCCACGTTTCTCTCCATCGCTTCTTTCTCTTCCCCACTCCCTAAACTCAGGACCCAGTCACTTCTGCTCCTTACACACACACACACACACACTGACATACATGCACTCTCACACTCACTCTCATAGCCCCCCCCCCAGCACACACACACACTCCCACCCTGCCTTAGACAGGAAACAAGTTTCCCTCCCAGAACCTTTATTAAGACCTGTGGGGAATGACCGGAATCTGGGCCCCAGTAGGTCTGTGAGCGAGCCTGTGTGTGTGCAAAGGTGTGAGCCTGTGAGCATCCACATGGCTGTGGAATTTAGAAAGCATGTGTGTACACATGTGAGTGTGACAGTGAAAGTGTCAAGAGTTCTAATAGTGTGCATTTGGATTCAGTGTGGCCTTGGTTGTGTGGGCACACAGGTGAGCTCCAGCTAGGATAGAGGGATGTGAGTGACTCGGAGTATGAAAGCTGAGCCTGGGGCAGATGGACAAATACATCCTTTGAGTTCCTGTGGAGGCTGCCACCCCATACCTTGCTCACCTACTCCATCTTTGTCATCCGAGGTTCTGTCAAATCAGGATGGGGTGCAGGAAATGGGAGTGAAGCTGCTGACCTCTGGGAAGGGGCCTGCATGCTCCCTGGGCCTGTCAGCCACTGATCTGTTCCATGTTCCTATAAATACTTAAAAATCCCAGCTGCTGAGGAGCAAGACATTCTCCACCAGCCAGCTGGGGCTTCTGGCATGGAAGCTGGTGGGGAGGGAGCTAGGGAGCGAGACACATGGGGGAGTGGAGGGGGAATCGCATCAGCGAGGCTGGCAGTAGGGACTCCTGAGTTCAGCTCCCAGTTTTGCCAAAGATTAGCCTGGGTGTCCCAGTATGTCTTCATCAGGAACTGCAAAGCCAGAAATACCATCTACGCCTCTGTCCCAGGAAGCAGCCCTACCTCTGCCTGAAGAGAGAGACTCCCCCATTGACAGCCAGCTTTCTGCCTTCTAGTCACATCTCTCAAGTAGGAGTAATGAGAGGGATCTTCTTGCTTTTTTTGTAGTGGGGAGCATCTCACTGTATTGCCCAGACTGTTCTCTAACTCCTGGCCTCAAGTGATCCTCCTGCCTGTAGCTCCCAAAGTACAACAATTACAGGTGTGAGCTGCCACACCCAGCAGCTTCTTACTCTTTAAACGCCACACAAAATTCTTCTGGAGTTCCTGGAGGGAATTGTCTCTTTGAACTCAAAACTTTTCCCAGGACACCTTGATTAATCCATCAGGCTCTTTCTGGATTGGAAGCAGAAGAAGCTGCAGCTCGATGACCCCCTTTGCAAGAGCCCCCTCTGCAGCCCTTGAGGGGAGCAAAAGCATTTTCATCTGGCCTCTCCGCAATCTGCAGCCTGCTCTTTCACTTTGGAGCTGGGCTGGGTATGATAACCTGGAGGAGGGGGAATTAGTTGGGATGACTCACTTGCCAGAGCCCATCAACACTGGCCTAGATTTGTGGCCAGATGCCTGGTTGACCAGCCCAATAGAGCTTCCTTTCTCAGGAAGAGAAAGATTATTGATCCTCTACACCCACTGCCCAGGACAGTGTCAGGCACACCACAGGCCCTTGGGCATTTGTGTGGCATCATCAGCCTTATGCCTGGATCACCAAGTCAAACTTTCCCAATAGTAGTTGGTGGTAAACTCCAACTCCTAGTGTGAGAAGGCATCACAAAGCCCAGATGTCCTGGGCCTCCTATCAGGGGAAACCCCACCCCTGATATTTGATGGGGGTTCTTTTCTATTTCCCTAAGTGTCGGCTGGTCTGAGAAATAAGAGAGAGAGAAATTTTAAAGCTGTGTGTCCAGGGGAGACATCACATGTCAGCAGGTTCTGTGATACTCCCTGAGCCGTAAAACCAGCAAGTTTTTATTAGTGATTTTTAAAAGGGGAGAGAGTGTACAAATAGGGTGTGGGTCACAGAGATCACAGGCTTCACAAGGTAATAAAATATCACAAAGCAGATGGAGGCAGGACGAGATCACAGGACTGCAGGATGGGGTGAAATTAAAATTGCTAATGAAGTTTCAGGCATGCCTTGTCATTGATAACATCTTATCAGGAGACAGGGTTTGAGAGCAAACAACCTGTCTGACCAAAGTTTATTGGGTGGGAATTTCCTCGTCCTAATAAGCCTGAGAACGCTACAGGAGACTGGGGTTTATTTCATCCCTTCAGCTTCAACTGTAAAAGACAGTCACCTCCAAAGGGGCCATTTAGAGGCCTACCCTCAGGGGCCCATTATCTTTCTCAGGGATGTTCCTTGCTGAGAAAAAGAATTCAGCAATATTTCTCCTATTTGCTTTTGAAAGGAGAAATATGGCTCTGTTCCACCTGGCTCACCAGCAGTCAGAGTTTAAGGTTATCTCTCTTGTTCCCTGAACATTGCTGTTATCCTGTTCTTTTTTCAAGGTGCCCATATTTCATATTGTTCAAATGCACATGCTCTACAAACAGTTTGTGCAGTTAACGCAATCATCACAGGGTCCTGAGGTGACATACATCCTCCTCAGCTGACAAAGATGACTGGATTAAGAGACTAAAGTAAAGATAGGCATAGGAAATCACAAGGGTATTGATTGCGGAAGTGATAAGTGTCCATGAAATCTTCACAATTTATGTTCAGAGATTGCAGTAAAGACAGGTGTAAGAAATTATAAAAGTATTAATTTGGGGAACTAATAAATGTCCATGAAATCTTCACAATTTATGTTCTTGTGCCATGGCTTCAGCTGGTCCCTCCTTTCAGGGTCCCTGACTTCCCACATCTTTCCCTTTCTTTTCATATAAATGTGCCATGGCAATGAAGGCTTGTTCATTCTCTCAATTTTGACGCAGGATTCTTTGACTGGTCCGGTACACTAAAAACAAGCCGATTAAACAGAGAGACATAATTCCAAAATTTACTACAGTGGAGCTCCCAATAGACTTAATCCAAGTCGTGTGGTTTAATCCATAAAGATTTTTTGCCACCTGATCTAACGCCTCAGCTCCAGGCACAATGGATAAGTGAGCTTGAGAGGCTTCAAAAATTGGTTTCTTTAATTTAGTTATGTCCAATGATAAATTATCTTCCCTATTCAGAAGGTGTCATTGACCATTTCCCATGAGGATCAGTCTCATTAGAGGAATATGGGGTGATATAGAAATCAGAGGTATTGCCGGGAGCGGTGGCTCAAGCCTGTAATCCCAGCACTTTGGGAGGCCGAGACGGGTGGATCACGAGGTCAGGAGATCGAGACCATCCTGGCTAACACGGTGAAACCCCGTCTCTACTAAAAAAAATACAAAAAACTAGCCGGGCGAGGTGGCGGGCACCTGTAGTCCCAGCTACTCCTGAGGCTGAGGCAGGAGAATGGCGTAAACCCGGGAGGCAGAGCTTGCAGTGAGCTGAGATCCCGCCACTGCACTCCAGCCTGGGTGACAGAGCGAGACTCCGTCTCAAAAAAAAAAAAAGCAAAAGAAATCACAGGTATTCCAGTCGCACTGCATTTGCATGTGATGTTCAAGACTCACTACCTGATCTCCAACCCAAATAACAGACTGTCTTAAATCATTAATTTGATTAGCCAATTTTTGGTCAATATCTTGCTGAGAATTCCACATTTGGGTGGAACTGGCTTGCCAAACATTAACAAAATGAGCCGTTTGAATAGATTGACGTAACGCCATTCTGGCAGTGGTGGCCAGTGCAGTGACTGTAATTAGGCCCATGATCATAGGGATTAAAGTGAAAACAAACCTCTTAGATCTTTTTAGAATTCGCCGTAACACTTCATTAATTAACTGTATTGAGGGGGAGGATTCTCAAGGTCTGGGCAAAGTTACCAGAATCCAGATTCCTTCTCGAGCTCGAACCAACATTACACTTTTCCTGGAGTCAAAATGAGAGTTTATACAAGTGTATAAATGACAGGTAATGCATTGGACAGTTTGATTGTTCATCCAAATTTTGATATTTCCCACTAACAGCATGTAAGGAGGCTTAACACAACTCTGTATGGGAACAGTCAGGTTGGAGGTAAGTATAGCAGAATGTCTGGATCTATATTGATACTGACAGATGGGGTTGGTAGTGGGGACAACAGACAGAATAGTTTCCCTTCCCATATTCGCAGTTCAGACATAGCAATAGCCAATTTCCAAAGTTCTGGGTGTTCTGGGCTCAGAATGGGGAGTATCTCATGAGGCCTCAGGCGGGTAATGCCTTTATCTTCCCATTTTAAGGGAAAGAATGAGCTGAACCTCCTATGCAAAGTAGAATGATGATTCTCATTTTCCTGAAAAGAAATAAAATAAGTAGCCTCCAGGCATTCCTTTCCGCCAGAGGAGCAATTGCTTTTTAAATAGCGCTTTGGTGCCCAGTCTATTACTAAACCATATGAGTCATTTTTTAATATTACTGCATGTGAATTAACACAATCTTCCCAAATTAAAGTTTTAGATGGGCCCTCAAAATGTTTAGGGCATGGTTTTCCTGCAGGTTTATATTGAAAGGATGGGGTATCTCCCATTACTCCCCCTTTCATTTGTTTTAAAGGAGAAAGGGAGAGGCCAGAGACCAAATGTCCCAGTTCCTCTGCAGCTGATCTTTTCGGAAGATAAGCAGCCCAGATTTGAGTTTCTAGATGGATACAACCAGGTGCATGTCTGAGACACAGAGCAGGGTATTTATAACCCATGGTAACATTAAATGCAGTGCCTTCTTCTCCTGGTTGAGCAGAGAAACAGCCATCTGTAGCTCCAGGCATCCACACACCATTGTTAGTGTAGATTTCCACAGGAGCATCCATCCAAGTGAGAGGTCGAATAAGTGGAGGAAAAGGCACATAAGCCCAAGAAGAATAATTTTGTGTAGCAGGTAAATCAGTGTGAGAGAAAACTGGTGAGACAGAAGGTATAAGGAGGAGAATAATCAAATAAAGCCCATTGTAAGCGAGATTGAGTGCTGAAGGAGGAAGAGAAGAACAGAGGGATGGTATTTTCAGGCTAATAGAAACGGTGAGATTTTTAGGTGTGTAAGGAGAAAAAGAAAGGTAATTAGAAGTGGGATTAGTTAGATATGTCTCCATTATCATCAGAGAGGATTGAATCAGACCCATTGTGATTTGGTGTGCCAGCTTTTAAGGAGTTGGCATAGATCTCACCACGTCTGAGGGCAGTCTCTGATACAGATGTCTTTTCTCTGTGTTTTTTTTTTTTTTTTTTTTTTTTTTTTTTTTTTTGATGATCTCCTGGTGAAACATAAGCATATCCTCTTTCCCACGTTAAGTAGAATCAGAAACAATATTTAAAGGTTTGGGGAAATCCTGTAAGGCAATAATTACAGCAATTAATTCTGCCTTTTGAGCAGAGGTATAAGGGGTAGAAATAAGCTTGTCGGTAGGACCTATATAACCAGCATTGCCATTACTGAAATCATCAGTGAACACTGTAATGGCCTCAGGAATGGGCTGATGTTTCGTTAATCGAGGGACCACCCAAGAAGTCATTTTTATAAAATCAAACAATTTGTTTTTTGGCTAATGACTGTCAATAATGCCAATAAAATCAGCCAAGTGAATTTGCCACAGTACTGAATGTTGAAAGGCAACCTGAACTTTGAGCCAATTTAAAGGAACTATAATTAAATTCAGATGAAATCTGGAAATTTTAAGTATTGTACACCATGCCTGTCTAATTAGAGTGGCTATTTGATCTAGGTAAACAGACAAAGTTTTTGGCACAGAATGAGGAAGAAAGCACCACTCCACTAAATCATTATGTTGAACTATTATTCCACTAGGGGAGTGTAATGAAGTGAAAACCAGAAGCTGAAATACTCTAGATAACTGAGCAGTCTGGATTCTTTCCTCTATGAATTCCAGTTCTAGTAAAGCCTCTGGAGTCAAAGTCCTGGGACTGCGGAGATTGGAATCTCCCTGCAGTGTAGAAAGCAAGTTAGACAGCACAAAGATTGGAATACCTAAAGTAGGTCTTAAATAATTAATGTTACCCAAAAGTTTTTGGAAGTCATTTAAAGTTTTCAAGGAATCTCTCCCAATTTGAACTTTTTGAGGTTGAATATGTTGTTTTTCGACGACCATTCCTAAATATTGAACAGGAGTAGTCTGTTGAATTTTATACTGAGTGATGTGTAATGCAGCCTCTGTAACACAGTGGCTCAAAACTTGATAACAGTCAATTAGTTTTTTATCAGAGGGGGCAGCAATTAAAATATCATCAATATAATGAAGAATATAGGCCTGAGGAAATTGGGCTTGAACTGGTGAAAGCACTTGTCCAACATAAAGCTGGCACTTCGTAGAGCTATTCGGCATTGCCTGAGGAAGTACTTTCCATTGATAACGAGCTGCAGGCTCCTGATTATTGACAGATGGTACAGTAAAAGCAAATTTTTCACAATCTGATTTATGTAAAGCAATATAAAAAAAATCTTTAAGATCAATAACTATGAGAGGCCAATTATTAGGTATTAAAGCAGGGGCAGGCATGCCGGGTTGGGTGGCTCCCATAGGTTTAATTACCGCGTTAATGGCCCTTAAATAGGTTACCATCCACCACTAGCCTGATTTTTTTTTTTTTTACTAGAAACATAGGAGAATTCCAAAGGGAAAGAGAGAGTTCCACATTTCCAAGTTGTAACTGTTCAGAAACCAATTGAGTTAAAGCCTACAGTTTTTCTTTAGAAAGCAGCCACTGCTGAATCCAAACGGGTGTGTCAGATTTCCATTGTAAAGGGATAGGATCAGGAGGCATGGCAGTGGCCGCCACTAAAAAGGATAACGTAAACCAGCCCTGTTTTCTTTTATAGTAACTGGGAGGGGTTTAGTAATCCCTCCATGCTTGGACCAAGACGGAGCCCAGGAACAAACCCCATGTTTTCCATCATATGCTGACTGGGGGCACTATAAGAGTTATGTGAAATATTAATTTCAGCCCCCCATTGTGCCACTAAATCTCTACCCCAAAGATTAATGGGAATTGGCATGATATAGGGCTGAATTATACCCTTTTGACCATCAGGGCCAGTGCAAGGCAAGATAAATGTACTCTCATAAAAGCTCTCAGCTTTTCCAACACCTACTAGTCCCATGTTAGAGGGATGTTTAAGCCAGGAGGAAGGCCATAAACTAGAGGAAATAACAGAAACATTAGCACCAGTATCTACCAGGCCTTCAAACTTTTTTCCTTGAATGTGTATGGTGCAGGTGGGACATTGTTTATAAATTACATTAATTACATTAATCCAGTAAGTGGCCTTTTCACCGCCGAAGCCCATCCCAGCGCTATGTGTCTTACCTGCTTTGTTTAAAACGATAGTAGGTAGTAAAAGCGATTGAGCTTGTTTAACAGTAGTAAAAGAAACAGGAGATTTACCTGGGGCGCGAAACTTATCCCAAGCTCTCATACACACCTTTGTTACTTGTTTTATGGTAAGAGTATCAAAGCCTAATTGGGCATAAGTGTCAGAGAAACTATCAGAACCTGTGAGCTGAACCTGAGTAATTAGAGTGCCATTAGTCTGATATAGCTGAGCCTGCAGATAGGCCTTTTCGGACCACCAAGCACAAAATTGTAAATGCTGAGATGGGGTCAGAACAGCTTTGGCCAAAAGGTGCCAGTCTAAAGGAAGTAAAGTGACCTCCATACAAAAAGTCTGCAATGCCATTTTAACATAAGGAGAAGTAGGGCGATACTGAGTACAAGCATCCTTAAATTATTTTTAAAAAGTAAAATTCCAACATCATCCTGATACCAAAGCCTGGCAGAGACACAACAAAAAAAGAGAATTTTAAACCAATATCCCTGATGAACATCGATACAAAAATCCTCAATAAAATACTGGCAAACCAAATCCCACAGCACATCAAAAAGCTTATCCACCATGATCAAGTGGGCTTCATCCCTGGGATGCAAGGCTGGTTCAACATATGCAAATCAATAAACGTAATCCAGCATATAAACAGAACCAAAGACAAAAACCACATGATTATCTCAATAGATGCAGGAAAGGCCTTTGACAAAATTCAACAGCCCTTCATGCTAAAAACACTCAATAAATTCAGGATTGATGGAACGTATCTCAAAATAATAAGAGCTATTTATGACAAACCCACAGCCAATATCATACTGAATAGGCAAAAACTGGAAGCATTCCCTTTGAAAACTGGCACAAGACAGGGATGCCCTCTCTCACCACTCCTATTCAACATAGTGTTGGAAGTTCTGGCTAGGGCAATCAGGCAAGAGAAAGAAATAAAGGGTATCCAGTTAGGAAAAGAAGAAGCCAAATTGTCCCTGTTTGCAGATGACATGATTGTATATTTAGAAAACCCCATCATCTCAGTCAAAAATCTCCTTAAGCTGATAAGCAACTTCAGCAAAGTCTCAGGATACAAAATCAATGTGCAAAACTCACAAACATTCTTATACACCAATAACAGACAAACAGAGAGCCAAATCATGAATGAACTCCCATTCACAATAGCTTCAAAGAGAATAAAATATCTAGGAATCCAACTTAGAAGGGATATGAAGGACTTCTTCAAGGAGAACTACAAACCACTGCTCAGTGAAATAAAGGAGGACACAAACAAATGGAAGAACATACCATGCTCATGGATAGGAAGAATCAATATCGTGAAAATGGCCATACTGCCCAAGGTAATTTATTAAATTTATTAGCTTATTAATCAATGCCATCCCCATTAAGCTATCAATGACTTTCTTCACAGAATTGGAAAAAACTGCTTTAAAGTTCATACAGAACCAAAAAAGACCCCGCATTGCCAAGACAATCCTAAGCCAAAAGAACAAAGCTGGAGGCATCATGCTACCTGACTTCAAACTATACTACAAGGCTACAGTAATCAAAATAGCATGGTACTGGTACCAAAATAGAGATATAGACCAATGGAATGGAACAGAGTCCTCAGAAATAATACCACACATCTACAGCCATCTGATCTTTGACAAAACTGACAAAAGCAAGAAATGGGAAAAGGATTCCCTATTTAATAAATGGTGTTGGGAAAATTGGCTAGCCATAAGTAGAAAGGTGAAACTGGATCTTTTCCTTACTCCTCATACAAAAATTAATTCAAGATGGATTAGAGACTTAAATGTTAGACCTAAAACCATAAAAACCCTAGAAGAAAACCTAGGTAATACCATTCAGGACATAGGCATGGGCAAGGACTTCATGTCTAAAACACCAAAAACAATGGCAACAAAAGCCAACATTGACAAATGGGATCTAATTAAACTAAAGAGCTTCTGCACCACAAAAGAAACTACCATCAGAGTGAACAGGCAACCTACAGAATGGGAGAAAATCTTTGCAATCTACTCATCTGACAAAGGGCTAATATCCAGAACCTACAAAGAACTCAAACAAATTTACAAGAAAAAAACAATGCCATCAAAAAGTGGGCAAAGGATATGAACAGACACTTCTCAAAAGAAGATTTATACAGCCAACAGACACATGAAAAAATGCTCATCATCACTGGCCATCAGAGAAATGCAAATCAAAACCACAATGAGATACCATCTCACACCAGTTAGAATGGCGATCATTAAAAAGTCAGGAAACAACAGGTGCTGGAGAGGATGTGGAGAAATAGGAACACTTTTACACTGTTGGTGGGATTGTAAACTAGTTCAACCATTATGGGAAACAGTATGGCGATTCCTCAAGGATCTAGAACTAGAAGTACCATATGACCCAGCCATCCCATTACTGGGTATATACCCAAAGGATTATAAATTATGCTGCTATAAAGACACATGCACACGTATGTTTATTGTGGCACTATTCACAATAGCAAAGACTTGGAATCAACCCAAATGTCCATCAATGACAGACTGGATTAAGAAAATGTGGCACATATACACCATGGAATACTATGCAGCCATAAAAAAGGATAAGTTTGTGTCCTTTGTAGGGACATGGATGCAGCTGGAAACCATCATTCTCAGCAAACTATCCAAGAACAGAAAACCAAACACCGCATGTTCTCACTCATAGGTGGGAATTGAACAATGAGATCACTTGGACTCGGAAGGGGAACATCACACACAGGGGCCTATTGTGGGGAGTGGGAGGGGGGAGAAATAGCATTAGAGATATACCTAATGTAAATGACGTGTTAATGGGTGCAGCACGCCAACATGGCACA